TGTGTGTGTGTGTGTGTGTGATTACCATCCGTCCTCTACAGCTCAGGGTTCCACCTTCCTGGACTCATGTGACTTTGAACGTGAGAACATCTGCGGTATGATCCAGGGAGAAGGGGACAAGGCAGAATGGGTCAGGGTCGCCGAGGCTGCCGGAGGCCCCGACACTGACTATTCCAACATGGGAAAATGCACAGGTGAGAATTATGCATTCAGCAGATACATGTCTCCGCTTTAAACGTCAATATCATCTTGAAACCACACACATCTCAATGAAATAAATGACTGCAAAAGTGAAGCCAAAACATCTGGATCGACCCCCTGCTGGCTGGCTGCAGTATAGGTCAGAAACCCTGCAGACGGGATATTAACCAAAAATCAAAGCAAGCGTCCCAAAAACATAATAATTCAGAGGTGGTTTCTGTCATTTAAGGTCGTTTGTATCACATTGGTGTTTAAGTGTTTATTCTTCCAGTAAGTTGGGTTTTAATTAGCTAATTAATATGCTAAAAAAAGGTCATGGTTGAGAAACAAGATTGACTCGTGAATTTTTGCTTTATGTTTCAGTGGCCTGTTGCACTGTGCATTGAAAGAATTCTTAGGTGTGGACATTATTAATCAAGTGACATTTGGATCCTCAGGTTCAGGATACTTTATGCACTTCAGCACAGCCACAGCCAACACTGGGGACACAGCTCTGCTTGAAAGCAGGCTCCTTTACCCCAAGAGAGGTTTCCAGTGTCTGCAGTTCTTCTACTACAACAGCGCCGGGCCCAGTGACAAACTGAATATCTATGTCCGAGAGTACAACCAAACAAACTCCAACGGCACACTGCGCTTCATAAAGACCATAGATGGTGAGTATCACTGAATCCTCCATTTTGACTTTTAGAATTGAGCCGGTGTAATGTTCAACACATGTCTGTTTCTACCTGGAGCAGGATCCCCTCAGCAGCTGTGGCAGCTGCACCACGTGAGTCTAGATGTCAAGACAAAGTTCAGAGTTGTCTTTGAAGGGTCCAAAGAGGGCCCTGGGCCCTCGACAGGGGGACTGTCCCTGGATGACATCAACCTCTCCGAGACCACCTGCCCAGAGTTTATATGGCGCGTGAAGAACTTCAGTCACGTCATGGACAACACTACAGTGAACACACCAATCTTCAGCCCGCCATTCACCTCCAAGGAGGGTTACACTTTCCAAATGGGGCTGTACCCCAGCGGAAAGGAGGGCTACCCCGGCGAGCTGTCGGCCTACGCTCACCTGGTGGCCCGCGAGGGGGACACCGGGCAGAAATGGCCCTGCCCCTGGAAGCAGATGACCATGATGCTGATGGACCAACACCCGCACATCCAGAAGCGCATGTCCAACCAGCGCAGTGTGACTACTGACCCCAACATGAAGGCAACAGGTGCCATAAAAATAATAATTGACTTATTCTTTAAATTGAAGCACATAGTGCAAATACAACTTTTGCTGTAATACTGTATTCATCCATCCTTTTAAACAGACTCTCAACAGTTTTTCTGGGATGACCCTCGCAAGGTGGGCTCTGAAGTCACAGACGCGGATGGGTCCAAGTATTTCCGAGGGCCGGGCGCTGGGACTGCGGTGTACCTCACGCACCTCAGAGCCAAGAGCAGGGATTTTATCAAGGGAGGGGACGCCATATTCCTCCTCACAATGGAGGGTAAACATACAAAGCTTTTATTGTGTCCAATCATATGACAGATGTAAGGGAGGAGGTGTCTTTCACACAGAGCTTGTTTATGGCATCATGATATAAATATACATTATATCAATTATTCATACATCACTATACATACTCATCTCTCCCACCCGTGCAAACACAATTTACAGGACTATATACAGTGATGCATAATTACATCAATGACTCCTGTACCCAAGCACACTTCACTCCGCAATCCAATCAATGCTTGTTCATTTTATGTTCATCAGTGCTCCTCCACTTGAAAACCATTAACAGCTCTCTCTCTCCCTCTGTCTCTCAATTGCTCTCCCTCTTCAGATGTGTCTCATCTGAATGTGACCCAGCCTCTGCCTTCCACGATCGTACCACCCGTCACCTCTTCACCCACCACTGACGCAAATGCAACCACTGCACCCACCACCCACACCACTGCACCCACCACTGCAGCCACCGCAGCCACCACCGACACCA